TTCATACCCCATATCTTGTATCTGAAGAATTTTTTTTTTTAACTGACATTAGAAGTTAACAATTATTTTCTCCACCATATTTTAAGTTGTTTGTTTGGACTATTTTCAGTGTCTGGATTCATTGTCCTGGTGATCCTTTAGCTCAGTGCCTGGCATTTTGCTGTCTCCCAGTAATGACTGCTTAATTAAATAAAAAAAGAGAAAGTCCCGAAGCTCTCCATTTGAACCACTAAGCTGACTTTAATTTCTTAACCCAATGATTTCCAAACAATCACCAGAATTACTTTGATAGTTTTGTTTGTTTTCTTCTAGCTTTACTTTTAGAAAGTTCAGTTCTGTAAATTTTCTTACCCTCAGAAATTCCGATTCACAATGTCTAGGATAGGAGTAGAAATTCTGTATTAAACAAACAAACAAAATCTCTTCAGATGAAGTGAGAGAATTTTGGAAGTTATGAATAAAGAGTTTTGAGAATATTTTTAAAGATCCAAAAATGATTAAGAAAACATCAAAAATAGAATCCAGCTACCAGATATAGGAATGAGGTAGAAGGTGGTAGTCACCACTCTACCTTTTTAATAAAAAGGAATTCCACCTATAATATGGGAAGTTTGTTTAATGTTCAAAGTTTATAATTCTAGAAATAGCAACATGAACAAGTTATTTAGAGCTGTGGATGTAACCATTAGAAAAAACCTTATCAGGGTACCTGGGTGGCTCAGTCTGTTAAGATCTGTTTTCAGCTTAGGTCATGATCCCAGGGTCCTGGAATGGAGTCTCTCTTGCTCCCTGCTCAGTGGGGAGTCTGCATCTCCCTCTTCCTCTGTCCCTCCCCCCATTAGTTCTCTCTTTCTCCCTTTCTCTCAAACTACCTCTCTCTCTCAAATAAATGAATAAAATCTTTTTAAAACAAGAAAAGAAAGAAAGAAAGAAACTTTATCAGAGCTATCCTGCAGAAATTGGGTCATCTCTCAGAAACAGGACTAAGAGCACAGGGAGGGTGATTCAGGAACTTTTGTTTTTCATCATAATCATGTTTACATTCAACATTTTTTGTAAGTACTGTAATCTCCCTAGATAGCTCTGATCAACCATATTGAGAAATCTCTGAACACTCTGGGTTCAAATATGTTCTTCTACATCTGGCTGTAGAGAAACCAGCCCACTGTACTCTGTGTTACCCACATCTCATTACTATTTTCACCTGTGCCACTTGCTTATATGAAGTAACAAGGTATGCTTGTGTCTGTGTCATGTTCACACTGAACAACTGAAGTATGGACCTTGACACAGAATTCCTCTGAAACAGGAGAAAGGAGTACAGAGGATGAAAGCTAGCATATTAAAATGTGCTTGAGTTTCTAGAGTGCAATCTTTGTAACCTATTGAGAATCAATATCTTAATTCTCTTTCAATATCAGACTAAGCTGATATTTTCTATAAATCTGTAAGATGACTGGAAGTAGCTAAATGATCCCATTAGGAGCCTATTGGTGTCTTAACATATTGATTATCTGTTTAGAAGTAATTATCTGGGAAATAAAATATGTTGATCTATCCCAATATTTGGGAGGGATATCTTTATACAATTTAGTCTTCTAATCCATGCATATGGTAAATTTTTCTCCTAATTAAGGGTTTCTGTCATTTCTTTCAAAATAATTGAAAAGATTAAGTGTATAAACATTGCACACATTTTGTTAGATTTGATGTTAAGTATTTGATAGTTACCTGTTGCTATTTTATGTGATGCTATTTTAAAATAATTGTTTCATTTGTTGCCTCTTTCAAAAAAATACACAGAAATAATAAATAGGTGGAAAATTATATGCTCTGCAAACACCAGCCAAAAATAAATCTCATGATAATGTATTAATATCAGACAATGGAGACTGTAACCAGGACACATTACTAAATATAAAGGGGGCCATTCCATAACAATACAGGTTTTAATTTAAGGCTTGAAGTAATAAATAGACAAATCAGAAACTTTGGTGGGAAACACTGACACACTTATCTGAATAACTAAGAATAACAGACAAAAAAATCACTATGCATATGCGAAGTCTAAACAACATTGTTAGTAAAGTGGACATAATTGAAATGATATGCATCACAGGCCTCTCAAAAACAAACAACATATTTTAAGATCCATTGGGAATACTTATAAAAACTGATTTTATGGGGCACCTGGGTAGCTCAGTCAGTTAAGCATCTAATTCCTGATTTTGGTTCAGGTCATGATCTCAGGGTCGTAGATCAAGCCCTGTGCTGGGCTTCATGCTCAGCACTGAATCTGCTTGAGATTCTCTCCCTCTCCCTCTCCCCCTGCCCCTGTTCACCTGCTCTCTCTCTCTAAAATAAACAAATCTTTAAAAAAAATCCCTGATTTTATGCTTCAATATAAAGAATTCTAAGCGATTTGCAATGATTTAGATAATTCACAGTATGTTCATTGACCAGAATGAAATTAAGACAAACATTTAGAAATAGGACTATTTAAAAACAAACCAACAAATAAAAAAACCCAAAAACCTAACTTTTGGAAAGTTAAGAATTCACTTCCACATAATCCATGGGACAATGAAAAAATGAAACAGAAATGATACTTTAAATTTGTTATATCAAAGCTCGTGAGATGCAGCTAAAATGGGGCTTCAAGAGAAATGTATAATTTATATGTACATACCAGAAAAAAAAAAAGCTGAAGATACTGTCCATTTCAAGAAGTTAGGATAAGAACAGGAAATCATAATGAAGACACTATGGACTGTGAGAAACAAACTGAGGGTTTTGGAAGGAAAGGGTGGAGGGATGGGTGAGCCTGGTGGTAGGCATTAAGGAGGGCACATATTGCATGGAGCACTGGGTGTGGTGCATAAACAATGAATCTTGGAACACTGAAAAAAATAAAATAAGAATTAAGAAAAATAATTATTTCCAAAAAAAGACATTAATAAAGAATAAAATAATTATTAGAAATAATCTAAGTAGAAAATAAAACATATATTTCATAAAACCAACATAGCTAAAAGTTGGTTTACTTAAATAAATTAATAAAATTGAAAATTTTCTAGAGTGAGAAATTAAGGAAAAAGAGAAGTACCATAATTTGCCAGTTTTAGGAGTAAAAAGCAGAAATCGCTGCTAATCAAAAATATTTTTTAAAGGTATTATTTATTTGTTTGTTTGAGAGAGAGAAAAAAAGAGAGCGAGAGAGCAGGGGGAGGAGCAGAGGGAGGGGGGAGAGAGACAACCTCTCCTTGGAGCCCCATACGAGACCCTGAGATTATGACTTGTGCCGAAATCAGAAATCAAAAGTAGAGCCCTTAACCGACTGAGCCAGCCAGGCACCCCCCAAAATACTTTTTAGTGTTAAAGAAATCATCATGAAACACCTAACACAACACACTGGATCATCTTCAAAGTGGATGAACACAATGAAATTTCAATTTAGGAAAACTAAGAAGAAAAATAAAATCAGTGATATCTATTAAATAAATCCAGTCCTTGGCTAAAAATTCTCACACAAAGAAAACCACTGTTCTAGTTAACTACCCTGATGAATACCTCCAAACTTTAAAGGTAAATTTTGTGCAATTTACTTCAAAAACACAATGTTTTTGAGATGTGTCTTTTTTGCAGGCATTTGTGATTTATTCCTTTTTTCAAAAAAAAATTTATTTATTTCAGGGCGAGCAAGAGAGAGCATGAGCTCTCTTGGGCACATATAATGGTAAAGCCACCTGTTTGTCATTTAACTGAATAGGGGAGGACATTTGTAATTCTGTCTTTTCTAATTTATGCCTCTGCTTTGTAGAAAAGATGAAGGGCAGAGAAAGAAGGATTGAGATACTAACATTTCTGCTTCAAAAGAAAATTTATCTTTCTGTAACTTGAAGTGAGTAGTTGATAACTTATTTTGCAACTGATGAACTGTTAATAGGTAAGCACAATAACTGAGGATACTCACTCTCTGATTGGTAAGTCTCTCCCAGCTTATTACAAGGTCGGTAATACTGTTATTTCTCTTATACAGATTTAGAAGCCAAGACTCAAAGAGATCGTTCGACTTGTCAAAGTCGAAACTGTATAAGCTAGGAACTGCATGATAGTCTCTAAATCTGAATTTAAGGCCCACCATTTAACCACTATTCATACTGCTTTTTCAAGCAAAGGCAGAAGTACCTGGTCCAGGACCATGAACCCACTAATGGTGGGCCAGTCCGGTGGCCCAAATTGTCCCACAACAATGGTTGTAGGTGTTGTTTCATCTTCCTAATAATATTGAAACATCTGAAGATTTTATGTAGAAATTCAGATTTCCTGATAATTATTTTTAAAACTGAAAGGTCTGAAAATAATAAGGCCTCTGTCCACTCCTACCAGAATTTAATTGCAGGCTATTCCCCTTGGTATTGTGTGCTCCCAAGTTGTCATGAAGTCAGTGTGACTCATTTACATTGGCTTCTCTAAATATTTAAGTTTCTAAGTCTCCACTTAGATATATTGGCTTGATGATCATTGAAATGTTCAACATAGGAAAACAAACACTTACCGAGTCTTCAGTAATTAGAAATATAGCTATTTTTTAAAAAAATATTTCATTTATTTATTTGGTAGAGAGAGAGAGAGAGAGCACAGGCAGGGGGAGCAGCAGAGGGAGAAGGAGAAGCAGGCTCCCCGCAAAGTAGGGAGTGCGACTTGGGGCTCGATCCCAGAACCTCAGGATCTTGACCTGAGCTGAGGGCAGATGCTTAACTGACTGAACCCCCATGTGCCTGAAAACATAACTATTTTTATATGAAATACATTTATTATTTTTTGGAAATGAGGCTTAATAAACATTAAACCACAATGAATTCTACTTACATAAATTGACTCAGAGTTAAATGATCTTAGAGACCAAGAGGATATCTAAACCATGACTCATCTACATGGGGCACCCTACTCTAAATAGAGTAAGATAATGAAGTTTTTTGCAACAACTATGGTTTTTTCTCTCCCCTTCAGAAACTACTCAGAGGAAAATGGCAACAAGAAATCTTTCCACAGTGACCAAGTTCATTCTTGCTGGGCTAACAGAGAAACCAGAACTCCAGCTGCCCCTTTTCTTCCTCTTCCTAGGAATCTATGTGGTCACTGTGGTGGGGAACCTGGGCATGATCACGCTGATAAGGCTCAGTGCTCACTTGCACACCCCCATGTACTACCTCCTCAGTAGCTTGTCCTTCATTGATCTCTGCCATTCCACTGTCATTACCCCCAAAATGCTGGTGAACTTTGTGACAGAGATGAATGTCATCTTCTACCCTGAATGCATGACTCAGCTCTATTTCTTCCTTGTTTTTGCTATTGCAGAGTGTCACATGTTAGCAGCAATGGCATATGACCGCTATGTTGCCATCTGTAGCCCCTTGCTTTATAATATCATCATGTCCCATCAGGCTTGTTTTTCCCTGATTTGGGGAGTATATGTTATAGCCCTGGTTTGTGCATCTGTTCATACAGGCTGCATGTTTAGGGTTCATTTCTGCAAATTTGATGTGATCAACCATTATTTCTGTGATCTTCTTTCCCTTTTAAAACTCTCCTGTTCTAATACCCACGTCAATGAATTACTGATTCTAGTCTTCAGTGCAATTAATATCCTTGCCCCCAGCCTGACGATCCTTAGCTCCTACGCCTTCATCCTGTCCAGCATCCTCCGCATCCGCTCCGCTGAAGGCAGGTCCAAAGCCTTCAGCACCTGCAGCTCCCACATCTCAGCTGTGGCTGTCTTCTATGGATCTGCTGCTTTCATGTACCTGCAGCCATCATCTGTGAGCTCCATGGACCAAGGGAAAGTGTCTTCTGTATTTTATACCATCATTGTGCCCATGCTGAACCCCCTGATCTATAGCTTGCGAAATAAGGATGTCAATGTTGCCCTGAAGAAAGTGTTAGAGAAAAGAATATTCTTGTGATCAGAAATAACATGAGGATCTTTTATTAGCCTAAGCCATTGTCTCTTATGTTGTATGAATTGATATGTTTAACTTTAGCACATTTTCCAATATACAGCCTCATTTAGTGGGATTCTATTGACATTATTTCTTTATCCTATGGCCTTTTGATGTCACTGCTCTCTGGATTTTTCTCTTCTGAGTATCTCTGAGACACAGACTGGAAGTACTAAGAATGATCTGGATATAGGGACCCACTCGCTAATGCTGTTACCATTACCCCCCCCTTTCCTTTGTACAACTGATAAAAACTCAGTTCTCAGCCATAATGAAAGTATCTTCTAGCAGTGGTTCGAAATCTCCTTTTTCCTGTGTAAAGACAATGAAAATTGTAGCAATATGATGATGTAATCTTCAGCTTTTGGACCTATATTTTTAGCTTTTGCATCTCTAGTCTGGGAAAGCCTCTTTCCCACCATATCCTACCCCATACTTTCTTTTTCTGAACTATTTCTTCTATTTCAAACCTAAGAAACTTAATCAGAACTCAAAAATCTGAGTTACAGACCCATGAATTCGTTGTTATTGTGCCTGATCCAATATCCTCCTGCTCTGATATCTATTATTCGAGCTCGTAATGGTCTGTTTATTTTGCAAATTCACACTAGACTGTAAGGTCCATTAAGGGATACCCCTGCACATATGGTTCACAGCCATATCTCCAAATAGCAGAATGCTTGCCACCTCATAGTTCCTTGATAATTTTCTTGGTAATTGCTTTCCCTCTATAAAATATCTATATGAAAACCAGCACTTATCCAATGTGGTCTTTACCCATTGAACTTTAAGTGATACATATGGCTTTCTGGTTTTAGTTCAATTAAGTGTAACTTTGGAGAATTCTTTGAGGATCTTTAAGATAACTGGTAGCATCCTTTGTTGTTCCTATACAAGGATTAAGAAATACTAGTCCTGAGTTTGTTCTATTGTAAACCACAACACAGATATGGTAACTTGTTAATATATGATTTTTTTAAGTCATTAAGTCCTGTTAATAGTCAAGAAGTACCTGAAACAAGATGTTCAAGTATCTTGAATTCATGTATGCTTTAGAGACTAAACAAAATTAAGTAGATTTGAAATCTAATGGGTTGATGTGGCAAATCACATGGTAGAATCGTATCGGGAAGCAACTCCCTGCTGAGTGTGCTGCCCAATGCAGGACTTGATCTCACGACCCTAAGGTCATGACCTCATGATGCAAAACCAAGGGTCAGATGCCCAAACAACTGAGCTACCCAGGCACCCCTCTCTTTTGTTTTCTAAGCTCAAACAACAAACATGTGGGGAAGTTAGGGAAAAATCATAAGATTTCCGGTTTCTCTACATTTATTCTTTCTGCTATATCACTATTTTTTTGCTCAGTCAGGATTATGTTTTCTTTTGCTATTTACTACCATGCTAACTGCTATACCTCTAGAGTTCTTTAATTTTCTAAGGTTAAATGCATAAGTCCTTGTGCATGCTAGTCTATATATAAGCTAGAAAGTGAGAGAGGTAAAGAGGTAAGTTTCAGGAGAAACAGAGAACCTCCTTTAGATTATGAATCCTAGTTTGAGTGAGCAATAGGCTTCCAACAATCCCTGGAAGAATCTGGAAAAATCCTGGAAAAAAGAGATTCAGAGATGGATAACCTCGGGGTTAGCTGGATGTGAATGACACTCTTGCACATAAACCACAACACCACTGGGCTCATGATCACTGAAACACTGAGAATCTCAAAGTCATCTGTTCACAGACTCAAGAGATCATTATCACTGAGCTTCCTTCAACCGCCAACATTCTCCACCTAGTGCTTTGCTATCTATGCAGCCACTTATTTTTGTGGTCCATCCCAATGTTAGTAAAATCTATCCAGTGACATCCAAATAACCAAATATAAATGCTCATTTACAGGTCTTCTCCTGCTCAGTCTCCAAGACATGACCTTGGGGGAAGCCGCCCTTTACTTCTCTGCTCAAACCTTCTCTTTGTCTATCTCCTCCTCCTCCACACCATCCCACAATGGAATTCTTAATCATTCTGTCAGCCACATCATATTTTGGGAACAATTTAAAAAGGGGGCATAAAAGTGAATTGGGATAAGGTATCTTAAGTGTCAATTCATGGGGTAAAAGTGTAGTCAGAGAATATTACAAACCATGATTTGTGCTCATTTCCCTTACTTGGGTTTCCTAAATGGAATTTATAACAAATAAAAATCTTTTGACCTACTATAATTCATTATCCAGATTTAGTGACATCCTGAATTCCCTTCAGTTTTAGGTCATATTTAATATTCCTTTTTTGTTAAGGATATGTGATACTTAGGTTATCTTGGAGTTTGTTTTATTTTTGATGTGTAGCTACAGTATATTCTAGAAAACAAGTATGAATTGGGGCATCTGAGTGGCTAAGTCAGTTAAGCGTCTGCCTTTGGCTCAATCATGATCCCAGAACTCTGGTATCAAGCCCTTTCTTGGGTTCTCTGCTCAGCAGGAGCTTCCTTCTCCCTCTCCCTGTCACTCCCCTTGCTTGTACTCTCTCTCTGTGTCAAATAAATAAATAAATAAATAAAATCTTAAAAAAAAAAAGAAAACAAGTATGAATTTATTCCATATGTTTGGCACCAAAATATTGAGAATTCCAGTCTTACCATTACCAAGTTAATGGCTTGGTAAGCCAGATACACTTAGTGTTATGAGACAAACACCGCTATCTTCATATCTACTGAATTTTGCATTTGAGCCCAGACCAATTATGCTTAGAGGCCTTCTTTAGGGGTCTCATCCTTCTTCAATAGAAGAACCATTTGTTAAGCTTTATTGTATCTTCTCAGATATATTGAAAAGATGAACAATATAATAAAATCAAAGAATCTCAAAATTATAAAGGACATTAAGGATGTACATAGGGTAATCTTGCATTCAAATTAGTGATACAAGGTCATTACAGCCCCGCAGGAATGTCATCTTACTCATACTTAAACTCTTATAGTGATTAAAAGCTCAATCCTTCACAAGGCATCTTATCCCATTAATTTTTTTTCTATACTGAAATGAAACCTAACGTTTTTTTAGTTCCATTCTTTTTTACTGGTTATTCACCATGAAAAAGCACATAAAAATTCAGTATAGCACCTCCTCAACAATTTGAAAGCAAGTGCCACATTTCTTCTTTTCTAATGAAAATGTCTCAGGAGGTTTCACAATGGAAGAATTTAAGGCTTTGGCCTGGAATCAGACCTGGGATTTAATCTCAGCACAGTCATTTTCTAGCTATGTGATCAGGTTCTAAATTTCTTGGTGCTTTTATTCCTCTCCTACTTATAAGGTTGTTTTGAAGCTTAAATTTAAACATAAAAGAACATAAGAACAAATTAGCATAGTACCTGGCAAATGCTCAAACCTTATTACTGTTATTAAAAAAAAAAAACCAACAAAAAACAGAACAAAACAAACCATTTTCATTTGGGATGGTTTAAACACACTACCAATTTATAATCTTTCTTTAAATGTACTTATTTTATTAATGCTGTTTTGTTAGGTGAAATTCTAGAAAAAACATGTAAGATAATAATTAAATAATTGCTTATTATTTATTACAACCTATCTGCAACAGTGATACTTATTTTAGATATCTACATAGTCCTAGAAATGTTTACATACTATGAAATAGGGTGTTGCCATATTACCACAGGAAAAGATAGGCAAATATGGGAGGCAAAAAAAAAAAAAGTACTTAGCCTGAAGCCTTGAATTCAGTACTGGAGTCCATTTTCCAGGCCAGCAGACTTAGAAGGGATGGAGATATTTTTCATTTCATATCTATTATTATTTTGAACTTTAATCTAATTGCTCCCTCAGAGCTACCACTGATGGGATCATGAGAAATGCCCAAAGGGATCTGAAAGGCAGATCCAAAGGGAATGAGTGTGTTCAAGTCTTGATGGTATATACTCTTGGCACCTTCTTTTATAAACACGTAATTTCAGCTCCTGTGGCTGTGATATGCTGTGTTCTTCTGGGAACCCGAGAACATGACTTGGGTTATCTTGTTATCATACTGCAGAAAATTCCACCATGTTCCCTGTGAACACTATGAATGTTCAGATTTTTTTTCTCGCCTGTCAGTGACACCGTCTGATTCTTATCCACTGAAGTGTTGGGTTCCAGTTGTTGGGAGCTGCTAGATTTTTAGTCCTTGAAGATGACTCTTACTTGGAAAGGACTAGAAATCAAGAGGATCATGGACTCATTGTCTTAGAGATAGCACCTGGAAGGGCAAATTAATCATTGTGCCTAGTCACAGTCAAGGATCAAAGAACTCTCAGTCTTCACTGACCAAAGGAGGAAGGTTTCCAGGGTGAGGCTGTGATGAAAGTTCTTCAAGGACAGAGTCCGGTTAAGTCAGAAGTTCATACAGAGAATCTTCTAGTATGTCTAAAGTGAGTAACAAGAAACAAGCTGCTTGTAAACACAGATGACTTTTTTTTTTTTTTTCCCAGTATGTCACTGACCCTTTCTTTGGAGTCTTCATTTTTCTCTGCATCTAGCATTGCAACTACATGTTGGTTTGGGGTTATTTTCTTTCTATCTCTTCCCTCCCTTAACTTAACAGCTTTATTAAAGTATAACAAACGTTCAAAATACATCATAAATATATAGCCCAGTATGTTTGTTTTTACACAAATATTCTCTTCCTCTTGCTCTTCAATGTGAGATTCCTTTGTCCAGAAGTTGGAATTTGTCTCCAGATTCTTATTGTTCATACTGCTGCCACATAAATTATCGAATTGCCTTGGGGCAGGACTAGAAGAAAAAAGAGAAGGCGGGGAACCAGGGATTCCCTCACATTCTTTGATCATGGCAACACCTTTTATCAGGTTCTCCGGTCAAAAAGATGGGTTATCTATTAGAATTTCTGCATCTGGAGCAGCCACCACACAATTCTGTAATTGTGACCACCCACCACCTCTCTCAGCTCAAAAGCACAAGAGAAAAGAGGAAAAAGTAGAAACAGATCTGTGTGGGCTTCTCTAGGGTTTGTCTCCCTTTCACAATCTGCTTCCTTCTGTTTACTTTCCAGAGTTTTTAAGTAAATGCATTTTGTATTTTATCCAGGGTGATTTTTTTTCTAAGTTTTATTTATTTAAGTAATCTCTACACCCAACATGAGGCTTGAACTCACAACCCTGAGATCAAGAGTTGCATGGCCTTCCAACGGAGCCAG